AGTCTTAACTGTCTCCCTCCGTCATTCTTGTTATATGAGGAAAATAACCCTATTTAGTTAAGCAACCTACTGTCATCAGGATCCATTACATGTGACCAAATGCAATTCTTAATCTATACTCTTGCTCCCTACATTTCCTCACCTTCTACTCACTCTCAAAGCATTCCATTCTGGCTTCTGGCCCATCATTCCACTGGGCTCACCAATGACCTGCATGTTGTGAAATCCAGGGGATATTTTCAGTTCTCATATTTCTTAACCTCTCAGCAGCATTTGACTCTTGTCCACGGCCTCCTCTTTGAAACACTGTCTTCCCGTGGCTTCCATGACCAGTACTCTCTGAGTTTGTTCCTTCACCTCCAGCTGCTCCCTCTCTGTTTCCTTTGTGGATTACTCTTCCTCTTCTAGCCGCACTCACAGTCTCTCGGCCTCTAAGACAGATCATAGCCTTAGTCACATGCTCTTCCCTATGTTATGAATGTTCTCCTCTCCTTCCTTTTGCCGGCTTAGTCTTCCTTATCCCTCAGTTCTCCATCCATTCTTCATTTCCTCAGGGAAGCTTCCTCTGACTTCCTTGTGAGGTCATATTTCCCTATTGTATATTCCTTCATAGCTCTTACATAGTTACAACTTCACCTTTTTTAGTGTGACTGAGTAAGCTGCCTACCTCAGAATGTAGGCTCCATGAAGACAGGGATGGTCTACTTTTGCTCATCATTTTATCCTGAGAATGCAAAATGTTCCCCAACACATAATATGTGCTCAATAATTAGTTCCTGAATGCATAGATGGATGAATGTATAATTATATGGGGATTTATTTGCCTACCTGTTTATCACCTATCTTATTCCAGCTCCGTGAGAGAAGGAAACATACCTATTTTGTTCACAACCACATGTGCATTACCTAACTCATACTGCCTGGCACATAGTAGGAAACACAATACATTTTTTAACGAATTACAGAATGAAAGAGAGAGACATTCCAATAGTTCTTTCCCTAACATGTCAGTATTTGGATATTATTTTACTATCTTTTCATAAAGTTTCTGGTTATAATAGAGTACCAAATACCTTTGTTGTCTCTAGAGAAGAGTCTTCTGGAAAATATTATCTGCTACCTTTTTCTCCTTACAATATGTCATGTCTAAAATAGGTCATCTATAAAAATCTTGAATCTATACACTTCTTCCCCTCTTCGTTGCCACCACCCTAGTCAAGCTCACATATTTCCCCTGAACTGAATTTGGACCATACACCTTTCCTAAAGTATGATTTATTAAACTATATATAAACTTGGTTGATTCAGAGTTTTGACTGTACCTCAGAGCCAAGGATCATATCTGTTTATGTTATCTCCAAAGAAACCTAAATATGGCATATACATAATTTTTTATTTTGTTGTGGCAGAGAATTATTTCTGTTCAACATTTGACAAAATATTTCATTTACTTAAGGAAAAGAAGTATTTTTAAACTAGCAACAAATCTTAGTTTTCAAATGACCAAACTGAAAACATTCAAAAAAAGCCAATAACCTTTTAAGTTCCCCTACCCTCCTGCCCCATGAATTCTTAGTCATTGAGGTACCCGAGATGTTCACTGAGGTTGACAAGAAGAGTAATTTATGCAATGTGACAGATTTGAGAATGCCCCCAGCCTTGTCATCAGCGTATCTGGATTCTCCCCTTCCACCAAGGCCAAGCACCTGTCTTTCTTCCTCGACAGATCTTCCTTTCACTCACTCATCTAATAAACGTATGTTTGTATATATGTCTTCTCTCCAGTCAGCCTGGGAAGGATGCAACCCATATCTTACACATTGTTGTATCCTCAGGACCTAGTACAAAGTCTTGTTGGTACAATGTTTTGCTGATGCTGATGCTTATTTTCTTTTTGCTAATAAGATTTACCGAGCACCTACTACTGTCCCAGGCACTATGTTATGCTCAGTAGGTGCTATTTTCACTGATGAGAGTTGAAGGAACTTGCACAAGTCTTGTAGCTAGTGAGTAACAGACCCAGGACTCAAACACAGGTTACCAGATTCCAGAGCTGGTGCTCTTAACCACTAGGCAATCCTGCCTTCCATGAATATTCATAGGCTACAAACTCCAGCCAGGCTGCATTTGCTCCTAACTTTCAGAAGGCAGCAAGTGATCAGCTTTGCTTACAACCGATCAGAAGCATTTCAAGTTGTTTTCTTTTTTTCTTTTTTTTTTAAGATTTTATTTATTTATTTGACAGAGAGACACAGCGAGAGAGGGAACACAAGCAGGGGAGCGGGAGAGAGAGAGCAGGCCTCCCGCCGAGCAGGGAGCCCGACGCGGGGCTCGATCCCAGGATCCCGGGATCATGACCTGAGCCGAAGGCAGACGCTTAACGACTGAGCCACCCAGGTGCCCCTCAAATTGTTTTCAAATGAAGTTGTAAGTCTGAAGATAATTAAGAAAGAAACCATTTTTGGAAACAGCAGGAAGTGGTGATGTGTAGAGCCCCACTTTGACATTTTGAAGTGCATTTAAACACATAGCTCAGGGCTATGAAAAGTCACTACACTGAGATTGCAGAAGTATTAAAAATCAAATTGCCTTATTAATTTTTTAGAGAACTGTAAATGACAACCTTTCGTCTCTGGAGAAATTTTTCCCTAAAGCTCCAAGCCTCTTGTTGACTAGGATGAATAAGTTGGCCTCCATCCTTGTCATGTATCCATTCTCTGTCCCAGAGGGTCAAAGAAAACCATCTCATTTTAAAATGTAAGCTTCATTTGTTGAAGTTTCTAGCCAGTTAAACTAGAAGCAGGAAAATCCATTTCATGTGGCATGAGAGTAGAAAGCATTTTGCCACAGTCCAGCATAATGAGGGAAGACTAGTCAAGGTTATTATTAGGTTTAATCTCTTCATCTAATTGATAAGGTTAATTAATACTCTTCCTGTCAAGAAAAAAGCTTTATGAAGTCTTGACCGTTGATACTTTAACCAGCTTACCCTTTTGTATTTTGAGTGAGAGGCTCTATATCATGAACCACTGAGTTTCCTTGAAAGCTCCAGAGAATCCAACACTTGCAGAAATGTCCAGGAGTAAGATAACCCAGAGACTTGAACCTGCAGTAAAATGGAGTTTCTCCAAATTAGGCATCAGAAGCAGCAGATAAGAGCAACTGGCAACTGGAGATATCCTTGTTACTATCTGGGCTACAGTCATGCTGGCAGAAGCTTTAACTAACTAAATTTACTTGTGAGTTCTCCAAAGGGAGTGACTGTGTTGCACTAGGGTCATTTTTCATAACATACTACTTTGCAAATAAGTTCCTAGGACCTTGTAAAATATTTGACTTCTGAACCTCAATATAAGTATTAAAATGCCAGCATGTCCATTACATATCCCAGCTACAAAAAATATGAGTTTAACTGTTCGCTGGAAATAGAAACTTCAATAATATTTATGACTTATTTGAGCATACAGTCTTCATTTTGAAAGACTTAAAGCCTCTAGGAGGTAATTAGCATCCAGTAACAACACCTTGGGATATCCCTGTTTTGGCAGCATCTGTAGCCAGATCTGGTTACAGTTAATAAACTAATACTGGAGCTGTTGATCTTAGGAGGACAGGTGTCCTCTCTAACAATAGGTCCATATTCTGGTCAATAAGGAATTTACTTGATTGATTAAATTGGCTTGAGGCCTGGTCTGTTTGCTCCGATATTGGGCCAATATTGTAGCCTCTTCACAAAGACTTAATGGAGTTTTCATCTCTTCCTCACATAATGTGCTCTGTAATTAATTGAGCATTACATTTCCTGAAAGAAATATTGTTTTATGGCTGAATACATAATACCATTCACTAATTTATTAATTAATCCAATATATATTGAATACCTCGTATGTGTCAAGTACTTGGCAGGTCATGGAGATACAAAAATTAATGACAAGGAATCTAGGGGCACCTGGGTGGCTCAGTCGTTGAGTGCCTGCCTTCGGGTCAGGTCATGATCTCAGGGTCTTGGGATCGGGCCCCGCATCGGGCTCCCTGCTCAGGGGGGGATCCTGCTTCTCCCCCTCACACTCCCTCTGCTTGTGTTCCCTCTCTCGCTGTTTCTCTCTCTCTCAGATAAATAAATAAATAAAAATCTTTAAAAAAAATGACAAGGAATCTCTACTAATAGCTCAACTTAGTAGCCCAATATTTGTTTGAAGGATCCAGATCTTTCTATCTATATTTTATCCAGGCAGCCCAATCTGCAAAGCCCAGTTCAGGTCTTATCTCCTCATTTATTCATTTCGGAAAACTTTAATAGGTTACCTAAACTGTGAGGCACTGGAATGAAAAAGATGAGGAGAATAAGTCTCCAAATCACCAGGAGCTTCCAGCTTTGTAGGGAGGTAAGCAACGTAGACAGGACCAGATTGTGGAAGATGTTTCAAGTCAGGCTAATCAAGGAATATGGGTTTTATCCTATAACAGTGAGGAGCTAAGAGACAGTATAAAGGAAAACAGAAGCATGGTTAAATTTCCATTTTAGAAAAATTAGTTTAACAATGACAAGGAAGAGTGGCCAGAAGGAAGGAAATCAGAGGGAGAAGAAATCAAATTCCAAAGCAATTGAAGAAATAGAAATAACAAGATTTTAATAACAAATTGAATGTGAAGACTGAGGGAGAGGATGAAGTCTAGAAAGACTTCTAAGATTCTGGTCTAAGTGACATTAGCAGCAGGAGAAAGAGAACAGGGTTAGTAGAAAAATGAGTTCAATTTTGAATGTATTTTGGGGTGCCTGCATGGCTCAATCAGTTAAGCGTCTGACTCTTGATTTTGGCTCAGGTCATGATCTCAGGGTCATGAGATCGAGCCCCGCTTTGGACTCTGCACTGAACAGGGAGTCTGCTTGAGGATTTTCTCCCTCTCCCTCTGCCCCTCCCCCTGCTCATGCTCTTTCTCTCTCTCTCAAATAAACAAATCTTTAAAAAAAATTTTTTTTGGAATGTGTTTTGTTGCAGGTGCCTTTGAAACATCCATGTGTCAACATCAAGTTTGCTGTTGTAAATGTTTTTCTGAAACTCATGAAAGAGGTAAGGATTCAGGACTCGTCACCTTATAGATTGTAACTGAAACATAATTACGAATGATATTGCCAGTTCTGTAGCCATCCCATACTACTCCCTAGTCTCAAATGTCTTGTACTCATCCAGCATTCATTTTTTAATTTATTTATTATTCATTAATTCATTCTTTTACTTGGTTGACTAATATAGAAGGAACTCCAATATCATACTCCTGGTGACATTAAAGATTCTGGGTGTACACAGATAAATAAGCTTTAATTCCCTACCCTAAAGGTAACCTGGCTGTTGATTATAGACTAATTCTCTCATTCTTTGTGCAACTTATTCTCTAAGAAGAAGATAAACTCTCAAAGTAAGATACTCCCTTAAGCTCCTTAAAAAAATCCCCATAAAGACCTAGCACAAGTTCTGCTCTTTGTAGCTGCTTAATGTGAACCTTGAGTGATAGATTATTTATTTAAAAACATGGACCACTTGGGGCGCCTGGGTGGCTCAGACGGTTAAGTGTCTGCCTTTGGCTCAGGTTGTGATCCCGGGGTTCTGGGATCAAGCTCCACATCGGGCTCCCTGCTGAGCAGGGAGCCTGCTTCTCCCTTTCCCTCTGCCTGCCGCTCCCCCTGCTTGTACTTTCTTTCTCTCTAATAAAGAAAAAAAAACTTTAAAAACATGGACCACTTTAGGAGCTGTCCGGGTGGCTCAGTCAGTTAAGGTCTCAGCAGGGAGTCTGCTTGTCCCTCTCCCTCTGCCTGCCTCTCCCCCTGCTCGTGTGCACGCTCTCTCTCTCTTCCTCTCTTTCTGTGTGTCAAATAAATAAATAAAATCTTTAAAAAAAAAAAAAAAAGACTATTTAGAGGCCAAAGGCAGAGACCTATGACTTTTTAAAAATAAAACGATAGCATGTATACATAAAAGTAAGCTTGATAAAATTTTATAAAATGAACACATGTACATGAAACCTAGGCTAAGAAACAGATAATTACCAAAATCCCAGAATCCCTCTTCTGCCTTCTTCTAGTTACTACACACCATGGCCACTTTCTTCCCAGGAAGCTCTCTGTCAATGCCTGAGCGTGGTATAGATGCTAGTGCCTGGACATTTCTGCCCAACGTGGGCCCCCTCTATGAGCTGGCCGAGATTTTCATGGAGCTTCTTCCTACTCTGTCTGAGGCTCTTCCTACTCAGTCCTCTTTTCTCTCCCCTCTCCTTTCCCAGGTGTCAAACCTGCATCATGGTCTAAAGATTTACCCTGTCTACTCCTTTACTCCTTTAATAGATGTTACCAGCAATAAATCTCTTGCAATTCTAACTCTGCCTTGATGTCTGCTGCCCAGAGAACCCATCAACACAGATGGTACTGGAAGTGGTCTGCAATGACAAGCTCAGTTTGGGGACTGGACCACACACCTCCCTGCTGGCTAGGAGGACCCCATTCAAGTAGTATGTGGGCATAGATAGTCTCAGATAAAAGTGGTTGTCCAATTGCTAAAGACTCCCAGTCTTGACTTGGGAGTGACATCCCAGGGGAGAATGCCCTGGTGAGATGATTCAAACCCTTTCTTTTTTTTTTTTTTTTTAAGATCTTATTTATTTATTTGAGAGAGAGCATGAAAGAGCACAGGCAGGGGGAGCGGCAGAGGGAGAGGGAGAAGCAGGCTCCCTGCTAAGCAGAGAGCCCAACGTGGGGCTCCACCAGGACCCTGGGATCATAACCTGAGCTGAAGACAGACAATTAATTGACTGAGCCACCTAGGCGCCCTGATTCAAACCCTTTTAAATGCAGGCAGTCAGGGAAGGGAGAGACTACACATAAGGATAATGGAATTCGGGGCGCCTGGGTGGCTCAGATGATTAAGCGTCTGCCTTCAGCTCAGGTCATGATCCCAGGGTCCTGGGATTGAGCCCCACATCGGGCTCCTGGCTCAGCCGGGAGTCTGCTTCTCCCTCTCCCTCTGCCTCTCCCACTGCTCATGCTCTCTCTCTCTCTGTGTCTCTGTGTCTCAAATGAATAAAT